CTGTGGGTGCCCCCCAAGATTCAGGAGGCACCAGTCACTCACGGGCTTCACTCAAATGCCCAGAACAGCGGTCAGGTATCTAGGTTGTAGCCATATTGGTGCAGAAGAAAAGGCAGTTGGGGGCTCGTGGACGGAGGTGATATCTTTTATTAAACCAACAAGATTTTGGGGGGGGGGAATCCTTAATGGCCAGCTTTTGGGCACAGACACCCTTCATCAGGCATCAGAGAAAGATTGTAAAAGTTCTGCTGGGTAGAAGTGAAAGTTCATATTTCATAGGATTTGACAGAGGAGTCAATAGATGGAAAACTCTTCTGGGCAGTCGGTTCATAGCTGGTATGGAGCATCTTACCTCCTGTCAGGATCTGTGCTGATGCAGATTACTTTGAAGCGAAGGCAAGAGCAGGATCTCCGGTTTCAGGCGGTCACAGTTGCTTCTTACTTGGGAAAATACAAAGATTTGATTTCAGAAATTGGCTGAAATTCTATATTTTCTATGCGCCGGGTATCCAGGTTGTAGCCGTATTGGTTTAGAGGAAAAGGCAATCAGGACTCATAGTAGAGATGATCTCTTTTATTAGATTTTGCAAAAATCTTGTTGGTCTAATAAAAGAGATCATCTCTACTACAAGTCCTGATTGCAAGAACAGCGGTGGCATCTGGGCAGCAGGCACCAACGTGTTCGTGTCCCTCCCCAGACCCCTGTCTGCTCGGGAAGCAGCTCAGCCCTTTAGGTGGGGGGCGTATGGCCCAAGCTCAGAAGTCTGTTGCCAAGCAGGGCCCTGGACAGCCTAGAAACACTGCCCCAAACCCCAGGAGAGCATCTACGTGTGACCATTTCTGTTCCCTGCATCTTTGTACTAGATTGTGAGGACAAAATTGGCTTTTTCAAGTGTTTTCAGCTTGTCCCATAACCAGCAGTATGAGGGATCATTTCAGTTTGTTTCATTTTAGATGGATTTCATAATTGTCCTAAGGTATTTTCATGACACCAAAGGGACACTAGCCACTTGAAGCTACATCT